ACCTATATATATACATATATACAAAATATATTAAAATCTAATAAATAATAATAACAATTACTTACCAGTAGCACCTAACTCCTTTGCCACGCTTACCCACGCAGCCTTCTTCTTGCTCGGCACCCGGTAGCCTACGCAGGCCTTGTTATACAAAATTTCACGCGCACGCACTTCTTCTATTAATTTTTCATCACTCATTGTGATTATTTCGATTATTTATTTCTGGCAAATTAAATTTAGAAAATTAAAAGAGACGATTAAAATGAAATTATGAAAATGAAATGAAGCGTGCTATGTAAAAAAGCGAGGGAAAGAACCGAGCTGACACTCTCTGAAATGTCAACGTAACTTGAAATTCTAAATTCAACAGAGGATGTTCGGAGCAGCTCCTTTCATGATAAAACTACCAATAATGAGTAGCATTAATTCTAAATTATTCTATTATTTATACTTAAGTTGACTAAATGTATACGCACACATACATTCAACCCACTGTGGTGAGAAAACATTGTAAATATTTAATATTAATTGTTAGCTGGTCACTCTATTGCGCATATCCAAAACAGCATTACTCGTTATTCTAATTCCTCATTTCCCTTTATCCTTTAATATGTTTATTATAAGTATTTATATTGTAAATATATATCGTCGTTGTTTTATATCGAGATTCGAAGCTATCAAAAAAGCTAATGAAGTTATTGGAGTTGTCATAGAGTTTTCGTATAGTGTATCAGTTTTCGCGCATATATAGTACATAGACAAGTTATATACATATGTATGGTATAAGAGTACAAGATTGGTTCGAGAGTTGTATTCAGAATTCAACAAACGCCCCTTCAAACAAAGCCAAAGTATTAAAAGATCAAAATTATATATTAATGTTCATCAATTCGCAAATATAAATATGTTTCTGTTTTCCAACTCCTTAGTGAGTATATCTGCTGCATTTTCATTTTTTGGAATGTACTTTACATCTATTTGCCCAACATCGCATTTCTCACGGATGTAGTGATACCTAATGTCGATGTTCTTGCTTCGCTTCTGCGCCATCGGGTTTTTCACCATAAACTGAGCACTTTGGTTGTCGCATAAAACCGTAGTAGGACGTTTTGTGTAGTCCGTGTAACTCAGCTCACAAAGCATACCACGTAGAAAAGCTGTCTCTTTCGCACCTTGACACAATGCGATGTATTCTGCTTCAATTGGCCTTAACGCAACCACAGACTGCTTTCTTGACTCCCAAGCTATAGCTCCACCAGCCATCGTAACGAAATAACCTATGTACGATTTTCTGTCTATACTATCGCTATCCCAGTCTGCGTCTGTCAAACATACAAAATTTTTAAAATTAGCAGAAAATTTATTCTATTCTATTATTTCTATTATGTTCTGCATTTCTTCTTTGTTTGAGCAAGCCAAAATCATATCGTCTACGTATAAACCGATGATGCTCACCTTGGTATTACAACGTCGTATATATACCGATGGGTCTGATTTGCACCTTTTAAAACCTGTTTCTAGTAGTATTTGCTTTACTTTTTTGTTCCACTCACGACCGGCTTGCTTCAGACCGTACAAAGCCTTTTTAAGCTTGCATACCTTGTTTGGATTGCTTGCATCTTGAAACATTGGAGGTTGACACATATACACCGTCTCCTCCAAATCACCGTTTAGATATGCCCCAACGATGTCAATTGGTTGACCAACAACTTATGCCTTACTGCCAATGCCAATATTAGCCGAATTGTGGAATGGCGGAGCACTGGTGCAAATATTTGGCAATAATCGGCGTTATACTTCTGCGAACAGCCTAGGCAACTAACCTCGCCTTAAACGAACCGTCAGGTTTGCGCTTTATTGCAAATACCCATTAGCATCCAATTAAATTGTTGTTATTTGGCCTATCCATCAAGTCCCACGTTCCATTTCGCATCAACGAATCGTATTCTTCCGACATTGCCGCTTTCCAGCTATCTGCTTCTTTTGAATTTAGTGCCTCGATAACAGTGCCAGGATTTTCAACAATAGAACTTAGCATCTCCGGAGAAGGGCCTGTACAATAAACTTTCTTCGGCCTACCTACTCCGCCTGAACGTACGAATTTAGGTCTTCCTCGYTTTCTCTTATTGTTACCTACAGCAACCCCTTCATAGTCGGATTTAGACTCGCTTTCTGGCTCATTTCGCCCATCTTGCTCATAATTCTCGTATTCTAAATTCGTGCTATTTGCTTGAGTTGTTCTTTCGTTAGTTGTTTGTTCATTTATTTCAACAAGAAATGGTTCTTCTTCTCCATCATTATTCTTTTTATGTGATTCAAAAGACTTTTCACCAAAAATTATATCACGCGCGATTGTGATTTGATTTGTCTGTAAATTAATAAGTCGGTATCCTTTCGTAGCTGCTTGATAACCTACGAATTTAAGCTTTACACCTTTAGGTAAAAATTTACTTCCGCGTGGTTTCGGACCCTTCTGTAGAACCATGGCATCGCAACCGAACGTACGTAAATGTGAAACTGACGGCTTTCGGTCGTGCCATTTCTCGTACGGTGTAATCGCACCTAAAACTTTTATTGGACACCTATTTCTAACATACACTGCCGTGTTGACGGCTTCCGCCCATAACGATTGGGACAAATTTGACGAATTTAATAAACAACGCGACATTTCAACTAATGTTCTTTGGCTCTTTCGGCCACACCATTTTGTTGAGGGCTGTATGGTACAGTAATTTGATGCCGAATCCTATTTTAATTTAAAAATGTCTTAAATTGAGAATTAATAAATTCCTTTCCATTATCACTACGTAATGTTTTAATTTTGCGGCCTATCTGCTTCTCCGCGGTCGCAGCAAAAAGTTTAAACATGTCGAATGCATCCGATTTTCTTTTTAAAAAATAAACCACCGCGAATAATCGTCTATGAATGAAATAAAATACGATGCACCGCCAACCGAACTCACACCTATTGGCCCGCATAAATCTGTATGTACTAAGTCTAAAACATTTTCGAATAAACATTGCTATAGTTGGCATGGGGAACACTGTGAATTTTACAAACCGCACAAGTCAAGCAGTCAAGGATTTTCGGAATTTTAATGTTTAAACCACTCACCATATTCATTTTTGATAATTTGTTTAAATCGTTTATGTTAAGATGACCGAACCGCCTGTGCCAATTACTTGCGCATTCACTAATCGCATTAACACTATCCGCGTTTCTTTTTATGCTAGCAATATACATGCCATTTTCTAATTAAGCAGTTAAAATTGTCTTTCCCATTATATTTTGTATCAAAGCACTATTTTACCACCACGTACCATACGTCTTTTAAATGTATTGTTGTGTATTTTGTCCTCAAAA